GAAGCGAGGGGAGGGGGCGGAGACGTTTGGGAGGGGGCGGAGTTGGGGCGGGGCTGGGGGCGGGGCCCCCGGGAGTGTCCTCCATTAGGAGGCACAAAATATGGTAACCCTACACTAGGGGCTTTTGGGAGCACAGCTATGTTGGTCACAAATTACACCTCATCACATCCCTGACTGACATAGCTATGCCTGCAGAGTCTGTAGTATAGTCATGACCAAAGCAAAAGGTAAAAATCAGCAGTGCTGAATTGCCTGAGATGCAGAAATCCAATCTAATTTTTACTCAAGTTTTTCCTTTTGCAAAATCTCACTTTCAAATACAATGTAAATGTTATTATATTGGTAAAGTGCTAACTTGAGGAGTAAAAAGTTCAGATTTACAGGCTGGAAACAAATCTTTCCCCTTTTGCCTACATCTCAGTACCTTTGGTATGGTCTCCTCTCAGAAACCACACTAAAGGGGAAGCGTTAACTCCGCCCACTCAGTTTTATTTTGTGTACTGGCAGTAACCATATCTAGACTCCTGAGCTCAATCAGAAATGGTTGTAGTACTTAAGATGTCAAGATTTATATAATCCCCTTGGAGCCCCTACTCAGAAGTTAAGAAACACTGCTTAAGCCATCAGAAAGTTGTCTAGGTTATTTAATTGCGATTAATCACGCTGTTGAACAATAACAGAATATCATTTATTTAAATATTTTTGGATGTTTTCTACATTTTCAAATATATTGATTTCAATTACAACACAATACAAAGTGTACAATGCTCACTTTATATTTATTTTTGCTTACAAATATGTGCCCTGTAAAAACCAAAAGAAATAGTATTTTTCAATTCACCTAATCTCTTTATCATGAAAGTTGAACTTACAAATGTAGAATTATGTACAAAAAAACCTGCATTCAAAAATAAAACAATGTAAAACTTTAGAGCCTAGAAGTCCAATCAGTCCTACTTCTTGTTCAGCCAGTCGCTCAGACAAACAAGTTTCTTTACATTTGCAGGAGATAATACTGCCCGCTTCTTATTTACAATGTCACCTGAAAGTGAGAACAGGCATTTCTGTTGACACTGTTGTAGCCAGCATCGCAAGAGGTTTATGTGCCACATGTGCTAAAGATTCATATGTCCCTTGATGCTTCAACCACCATTCCAGAGGATATGCGTCCATGCTGTGACGGGTTCTGCTCGATAACAATCCAAAACAGTGCAGACCAACATGTTCATTTTCATCATCGGAGTCAGATGCCACCAGCAGAAAGTTGATTTTCTTTTTTGGTGGTTCGGGTTCTGTAGTTTCCGCATCGGAGTGTTGCTCTTTTAGGACTTCTGAAAGCATGCTCCACACCTCATCCCTCTCAGATTTTGGAAGGCACTTCAGATTCTTAAATCTTGGTCGAGTGCTGTAGCTAGCTTTAGAAAATTCACATTGGTATCTTCTTTGCATTTTGTCAAATTTGCATTGAAAGAGTTCTTAAAATGAACAATATGTGCTGGGTCATCCTCCAAGACTGCTATAACATGAAATATATGTCAGAATGCGGGTAAAACAGAGCAGGAGACATACAATTCTCCCCCAAGGAGTTTAGTCACAAATTTAATTAATGCATTATTTTTTTAACAAGCGTCATCAGCATGGAAGCATGTCCTCTGGAACAATGGCCAAAGCATGAAGAGACATATGAGCCTTTAGTGCATCTGGCACATAAATATATTGCGACGCCTGCTACAATAGTGCTATGCGAATGCCTGTTCTCATTTTCAGGTGACATTGAAATTAAGAAGTGGGCAACACTATCTCCCATAAATGTAAACAAACTTGTTTCTCTTAGCGATTGGTTGAAGAAGAAGTAGGACTGAGTGGACTTATAGGCTCTAAAGATTTACATTGTTTTGTTGTTGAGTACAGTTATGTAAAAAACAACCTACATTTGTAAGTTGCACTTTCATGATAAAGAGATTGCACTACAGTACTTGTATGAAGTGAATTGAAAAATACTATTTCTTTTATTATTTTACAGTGCAAATATCTGTAATAAGAATATAAAGTGAGCACTGTACACTTTATATTCTGTGTTGTAATTGAAATTTCTTCATTTGAAAATGAAGAAAAGCATACAAAATATTTAATAAATTTAAATTGGTATTCTATTAACAGTGCAATTATTTTTTTAATCGCAATTAAATTTTGAGTTAATCGTGATTAATCGACAGCCCTAATACATACATACATACACACACACACACACTTTCTTTTCCAAATAAAACACATATACCAAAATACAAGATTAATCATAATACATAAAGTAAGTAAAGAGGATTAGGATAAAGGGAAGTGAAATGACATATATATGTTCAGGGACTACATTAATCATCGACCTCTAAAAAAAATCAATCCAAATTGCTTTGAATTTTTCAGGTATTTCCTTTCTCCAGAATGCCAGTCATTTGTTAGTTGCCAGGTCAGCCATATCACTGAGCCAGGCATCAATGTTTGGTGGGGACTGGCTTTTCCATTTTTGTTTTAGCAACCAAACCATACACATTGGAACGGCTCCACCTTATTACCAGGAAACTTCCAGGTATCAGGAATATATCCAAGAACAAAACGTAAGGGGGAGGGCTCCAA